GTCTGACAGAGCTCACATCTGCTAACCTACAGGACACAGCATAAAGCTCATTTTTTTTCTCGTGCCCTTTGTTTTAAAGTGCTGCCAGTGAAAAATTGCAGGTTGCAGTTTGCTTTCAAAAAGGATTGTGGGGAAGTAAAATAGTCTTTCCCTTGTCTCTCGAAAGTAATTGTACAATTAGGTTTGTATATGCACCTGAGGCATAAGGTGGTTTTTTAGAGATAAATAAAAGCCTAAACCAAAAAGCTACAAAGATACCACTGTCTCATTCAGGAAAGGCAGAGAACAGGAGCAGATCTAAAGAAGTTAGCAATTTCCTTATCCTATAAACATTTTGCTAAACTTCAGTAATTTCCCCCAAGTTACTACAGGGCAGCATTACTCTTTTATAGATGCGTTTCACAGCGTGCATTTTTGTACCCGGTCTTTATAAGGCTGGCAGCAAGAGCACAGCTGTGCTTCTGAGCTCGCTGGTTTTCATACTCGTTTTGCTGCCTAGATAAGCTTGTTTGACTTTTGGCGTTTTTCCTTATACTTTATTGCAGTGTGCTAGGTGAGTTACGGGCCTTTTGGTTCAATTGTTTGGCGTTATAAAGGATGAGCTCTATCCTGATCACTGTTGTAGCTCGGTGGCTCGAGGGTCCCACCGGGGAAAGTGTCACAAGCCAAGACCTCAGCTTTGCTATCCGTGGTCTGACTGTAACTTTGGGATCGTGCAGAGGCAGAATCAGGAAGAGCTTCTACTTCTGTTCTTCTAGAAAACAGTTTTATCTTTTCCTAGAGAAAGTTAAGGGAATAAATATTTGGTTTTGCACTTAACTATGTTTTAAAAACTAACTGGCATGGTTTAGATTAGAGAGGGATTTTTCCCGAAACGGCTGGACAAGAGGGTACGTGATACACTTTCTCTCTCAAGCAGAGAAGAAACCCATTTAGTTTCTCACAGGTGGTAAAGCAGTTGATCCTCGGCCTGCAGTGGGAGGCAGCTTCTGTTGTGTGCATCCTCATAACCTCAGTGTGTAAGGCACACGGGCTACTGGCAGGTAGGAGTGATTAGATGGAGCAGGCGTGTGTGGCTCAGGAGCTGATTTTAGCATCCTAAGTACAATTTCCAGGAAGATGTAGGGTAAGTAGGTGGCAAACAGGACTGTGCCTAGTAAACAATGTTTAGTGCAAAGTGGAGCTGCAACACAGTGAATACTTACGATCCCTAACGGAATTTTGTACCATAGAGCAAAGTGAGGGCATTTAGAGATCAGCAAACATCCTTTAGAGCAGTAAGTGACAACGCAAACTCCGGTCACAAAGAGCAGGTCGCTAGTTTAGTGTTACCAGCTGCACATACTCCGAGCACGTATCTTGTGTTTCACAATTACTTTTATCGCTTGGTTAGGGGAAAAAAAAAAAAAACCCACCCCAAACTCAGAACCCTTTATTCTGTATTAGCGTTGTTGCTACTGATAGGCTAGTCCCTAATTAATGTGATGGTACTTTCCCATTCCTCTACCACTCTCCTTATTACAAGTCCTTGGCAATACCAGAGACGTATCTATTACTTAGTCATGAGGTATCTAGACCAGCTTGCTTTTGAAACTAAAGACTGCGTACCCCAGGCATACTGTATTTCTGATTTGCATATGGAAAAGGCAAGTTAAAAAGCTGATGCCCCCCTATTGCTTGCGAGTCAAGTAGCAAAAGTAAATGATTTATCAAGCAAAGGTTACAACACCTGTGCCTTTTTGTCAACATATACAGAGGATGCCAAGTCAAGTGTTTCTTCTAATAGCTCAAACAGAAATTTAGATTCAAATAACCCCCCAGATAGGACAATTATGCGGTGAGCCGCTGGAGTGGCAGAGTGATGGATGGGGTAAGCAGAGGCAGTGTATGAAAAAACAAACCGACTGAAAAGTTCTGAAGCTGCTAAAACCAGACAAAGCCAAGAGCCCTTTTGGGGCCTTTGTTATTGAATCAGAACTACTGACTTAAATCAGTTTATTTCCTGCTCTCTTCTGTCATGGAGCTGTTGTCCTGCTACAACCTTTGTTGACACAGGAATAGGGCCTTTTTCTAAATAAAATATTATGTAAATTCTAAAAAACTCTTTTAAGGAATTATATCTGAGGCAATGTGACATAAATCAGAACATGCTGCTAATGGAAATGTCTACTGCTAATTTTTATAATGCCCATTAAGAAAGGCACGCACTGGTTTTGGTTGTTTAAAAACAGCCCAGGACAGAATGATCCTCGCTCAAACCCAGCCATGCTGTTGTACATTTGTCTGCGATTTTATTCCAACATTCTGTGAATGCCCATGTATGGGAAATGTGACTTGTGCTGAACGGCGCTGTCACATCCCCGTGCACAGACTCACTTTTGCAGCATTTTAAGGCTAATAACGATGATGCGTAACTAGTGCCTGTAGTCAAACGACCCACCAATCGGGAGAGAAAATCAGAGCCACCAAAACGCTGACCATAATGTTTTCTTATAGCTTGGAGCTGGACCGTAATTTTAAAAAAGCAGATGTTCAGATACAGTCTTCATTTTTATTTTGTTGTTCCAGCAGTAAAGAGTAGCTTAACCCTTCTATTTGAGCTTGACTTTCAGAAGCTCTGAGTGTTCACTGCTTCCTCCTGTCTGAGGGAGCTGTGTGGCCTGGCAGTTAGTGGTCCTCAGGACCCATATCTTGGGCTGACTCTGAATGTACTATAAAAAATCCTGATGGAAAGCAGCCACCCCAGCTGCTTTTAATAACACAGTCCGATGTGTTTTTATATTTTCATTTTGAAAATATCCTATGTGATTGTCCTATACACTAATGCCCTGCAAAAAGAGTACAAAAGCGTGCCTTTGTTTAGAGGAACGCTAAGTAAATCCCAAATTCTTCCAGCTAGTATTCTTACCTCCCTCCTTCTCCGATTTAAAACACAGTCAACTTCAGAGTTGTTTCATGAATAAGTCGTGAGTTTTGCAGATAAATTATATATTTCGTATCAAGCGGGTTGTGGTGGTGTAATGATGTACAGAAGCACAGAGATGCAGCTGGAGTCAGGGACTGGAAGTCAGTCTCCTTCCCCACGGCAGCATGTTTGACTTTAATTGAAAGCTGTGCTTGAGTATTGTTTTTCACCGTACAGCATTGTTATTCACTATACTGCATTACATAGAAGCACTTAAAGTAAGGGTAGAGCACTTTAAAATTATTTCAGTCATAAATAAGGAGGATAAAAGTTTACAGTCAACAAACTTATCTGGGAAACCTAGGCTGCAGGATGCAAATAAGTTTAAAATATTTTGGAGACTTAATACGGTTGTGTCTGACTACATAATCAATTTACCAACTAGTAGTTTTTCAAGTCTTCTGGAAAAGGTAAGTAGCATTCTCCAAAGGGTTTCAAGTTTCCTGAGCTATGGAGGAAAAGACCAAATGCTTAAGGACTTTAACAGTATACCTTGACATTCCTGTTTCCCAATTTCAGTGTATTTCTGTGTATTCCAGTTGTTTCCAAAACGACTGGAGAAGTAAGATGGAAACGTGAAGGCGGATGAAAACTTGACACATACGCGAAGCAAATAAAGGAAGAGGCCTGAAAAGTGGGGTGCGGGCTGTGTTTTGTTAAGGCATGGAAAAGAAGTCAGAACCTGATGGGTTAAAACCCTGCTCAGCACTGCTGGTGTACTTTCTGTGACCCTATTTAATACAGAGAAGGTTTGAGATTCGATGTAGTTTAACCTGTGCTGTCGACAGAGCTATAAACTAAAGCCCCTAAATTGTACACAAAGAACAGATAGCAAGAAAACACATAGTGTTCACGGGCATCTGGTTGCAGCCCTGTAAACTGAAAATCTTCGCTGATGAGTGACTTGTGTTTCATTGACAGCATAGGTGCTGAAGGCCATCGCAACGGAGTCTGTCTTCATGCATATACTACACTGTGGCATGTGACGGCCGTTCATCTGTACACTAATTATTCGGATGCATATGAACGATTTGAAAGAACTCACAAGAGCTAAGAGTAGTGCTCCCCAGTTTGCTAGTTATTTGAATTCTTACTTTTTAGTCATCGCAACCAACTCAAAACAAAATCACAAATATTTCTTGCCGTTGACCTTTAAAAGAATTGTAACATAGTCAAGCAATCACTTAAAACTACAAACTGCAGTTGTCCTAAAGCACTAGTGTTGCTCACTTTTTTATACCTTCTCCCCCATGATAACGTGATATTAAGCACAGACTTAATTTTTTCAACATCTGGCTCAAATTAGCTGCTAACAAAACTGCCAACAACTATTTTCTTAATCGACCCTGGGAATTTGATACAGCTTGGAAAAAGCACATTTAAACCTCGTCCTTCTCCTAAAGAAACACAAATGTTTACTTGAGCTTCTGATTTGACCATAGCAGGACTATGAATTCAGTTAACCCAGCTTTATAGGCCTGCCTCAACCGGACTTTTTTCTCTTTGTGTAAGGAAACAGATGTGCTCGCAATTACAAAATCTCCTGCTCACTCAAAGCCCACCATGCAAATGGCCAGCCAGGAATCTGAGTCTCTTTTTTTTTTTTTACATGGAAGTCATTGGAGAAGTCTCCCGTTGTATCTGGTGGGGGACTAAGGTGCGCTGTTACCTGATGGGTGTCTCTGAGCTCCTTTTGCACATGCAATTAAATGCACTGCCTAGGGAACAGCTTGGAGCAAAAAGGCTGTGAAAACCCAGTCCTAGAGAAAAAAAAAAAACAAACCAAACCCCTGTGCGCCAGAAGCCAATATCTTAGAAAGCAAGAAAGATCTTTCCAGTTACAAAAGCAGAGTTATTACTACATAAGCCCAAAAAAACACAACAGACAAACAAACTGCAAGTGACATTTCACTGTAGTTACTGAGACCATGTGGGTGAAGTGACAGCGGCAATGCAGCTGGCTCCGCGGGGACACGTTAGAGTACACTGAAGAAGAAGAGGCTGCAGGCATACAGAGAAGTCGAAAGCGGCCCACCTGAGTCTGTTGAGGGATATTTACAAAGCTTGGATCCCGTGGTCCAACACTGACGAATCGGTTTGCGGGGGAGGTGCTGGGTGTCGAGTAGGCTGTGAAGGGAAGGGACACATGCGTTGAGGAAGCGGCACTAGATTGCACACGAACAACACCAAAACACACTGTCTCAGAGCCACCTAAGCAGATGTTTAACATAGAAATGTGCAAACGTTTTAGAGAGCGAGAGTTTGGTTTTAGACACTGGAAAGGTTTGGTCTTAATGGTGGGGATATAAACACAGGCTGCTCCTTGCGAGGCAGGACGGCAACGACGTGCGCTCGGGGAGGAGGGTGCTGGGTCACCTGCGCTGCTCTCCATCCCTGAGGAGAACCCTGCAGGCCCTTCCATGCTGGGGTAGCACAGGAGACTTCTGGAGGTCCTGAGATTGCCTGACTGTTTTCACTCAAATATGGGCTATCTCCGGTTTTCGTGGAGTTTTGTATAACTGTGAATTTATTAAAGAGCTTATGAACAGGATCAGACCCTTATTTCATGCTAATCCAGCATTCTCTCTGGATAGAAAGTTTTGGTTTTCATACTGCTGTGGTCTGCACTCTCTAAAATGTTCACTTGATGTGTTTGACAAACTAGGAAGATCCTTTCGGTAAAAAATTAATGGGTTGCAGTTTCACTGGGGTGGTAAGTGCAATCAGTCTGAAGGCTGAAGCTGCCTTTAAAAACTGGAATGGCTCCCATAAATGTAAAGCTATTAAATGCAATGCAAGCCAAGAACCCAGATTACTTCCAAACTTGAAATACTTTAATGATTTTATTGTTGCATTATATTCTCCACTGCAACTGTCCACAATGCCACGTACTTCCACATCCAAAAGCTTTCAATGCATTTTCAGCCCTCTTCTCATTTGAAAATCCCCCATGCAATCTTTTCCCTTGTTCAGTTTTTTGCATGTTCAGATCTAAATTCAAATAACCTAAATAGACGCCTTAATACAAACAGTGATTCTGCCTATTTTAAATATATTTATGGGAATGCATTCTGCTGAATAAAATCCCCAGACAATCTAACTATCCAATGAAGAGACAAAAAACAATGTTAAAAGGAAAGCTACTTGCCAAATTCCAGTCAGGCTAAATATAATGTTCAGGCCTCAACGCTACAGAAAAATAAAGTGAGTTGGAGAAGACACTGAGTTGTCTGTGTAGACGAAAGCCTGTTGCCTTCCTGAAGGCACAATGTTTGGTGCAGAGGCATTACGTCGGAGGAGCCTTTGGTTTAAGACTACCGAATCAGACCAATGCTCCACCTTATCAACTCTCCTCTCTCTTCCAGAGGCCATAAGCAGAGGCACAGGGAAGAGTCAAAACAGGTCACATATTCACTTTCTCATATTCTTTCCCACCCTCTGATTATTTTCAGCTCAGGGACTCCCTGTGTTCAATGGCCCGCAAGGGATTTCTCATTGATGAGTGCCCAGTCTGCCCTTGAACCCATGCAAAGGTTCTGCATCCCACAAAGCCCTTTAGTGAGGAGTTCCCAAGCCTACGAGCATGCAGAACCGCATCCGTCCCTTGCCTCTCCACCCGAGTCTCACAACCGTCTCATGATGCCTCCCTAATTCTTAACAATTAGACAGCTTCACTTTCTCAAAGAGCATTCTCCTGAAATCACCCCAGGAACTGCATATCTTCATTTCTTACTGATCTGGGGGGAGATAAGGCACTCCTGACTTCTAAGAACAAATTCTTCCCAGTTGTTTCCGGTGAGGTGAGCTTTTCTCTCCAAAAAAAGCTAACGTTTTGCTAGTACTTGCAAAATTCATGCAAGGAACACCTTTCCTTCACAAAGTTTTAAAGGAATTTTTAAAGTGCACTAATTCATGTTTCCAAGCTGATTTTGCAAACTGCAGTGCAGCTTGCATATTAGAGTATGAACAGGTACACTGGTTGCTATTCATATCTGCAAATCAAGGAAGAAACGAACTGAGTAGATTTGGTGAGATGTTCTCCTTGCCTTTTTACCATGTTAATTTGCTTAATAATTCAAAGAAGCCACAGATTTGCAAAGGGTTTATCTCTGTTGCTAGTGCCATGTATTAAGATTCTTCTGTACTGTTTCATGGTGAGGTTTTTTTTTTTTTTTAACTAACTACTGAACCCTATGTTGTGTGCAAGACTAAAAATTCCTTCTGCAGTGGGGAAAATCAACTTAAAGCTCAAAACTCAAACATCTGGTGTTTGGTTCTTTTGGTCTACTTTTAAGGAAGCAGAATGAGTGGAGAGGCCATTTAATCCCTTGGAGCAGGTAAGTTCCACTCAGAACGGAAGGAACTCAAGGTCCTGTTTACAGTTCCCTATTGACGGATACTTTTGCTGTGATATTTGGTAGAAAATCAAAGGGAAACCATCAGAATGTTGTCTTAAATGGCTTCTCTGTTCAAACAAAAATTCTAAAACATTTGAAAACTCTATAATATGCACAAAAGTTTCCTCAAACCCTGCTGGGTGAATTACTATGTATAACTTTCTTCCGTAATGCTCCAAACTATGTTTAACTTGCTTTCTGAAAATACTCAGATGTCAGCTTGGTATTTCCTTAAGGTCATATAACTACTTTGCTAGAGCCGGGAAGTGAAGAGTACCAAAACTACATACATGCAGAGCAGGCTTTACACTGGACTCTCCCAAGACGGCAGTCCCACTTCACTGTAAAATGCCACGCGACGTTTGCGGATTGTAAGGGGCCTTTTTGGCTAAGAGTATTAAGCTGACATGGAATACGTATCAGCAGTGACTCCTGTTTTGGTGAAATTTGATTCAGAAAAAGGAGCAGTACCGAGTGTTGCTCAGACCATCACCAACACGGCTTCTAGCTGTATCTTACTGTCTTCATAAAAATACCCTTGTTGGACTTGGAGGTGGGATTCCTGGAAGTCTGAGATTAGGATGGGGCAAACTGCTCTCACGGGTTAAAGCTGCCTCCTATTATAGTATACATAGGCTAAGCCTACGGTGGGGTCTTCAAACTCCTTTTTAGGAGGGGGAAAAGCGAAAGCGTGGAAAGGAACAGAAGCCAGGTCTCTTAGGCAGATCTGATCATTATCAGCTTTGCTCCAAGGGAATTGCATAGATCTACACAAGCTTACCCTAGATGATACCAGCGTGTTGGGCTTGAATAGAAACATCTTCCTGCCCAGCCTAGTCTTTCTGCTACTGGAATTCACTAAGGATTGTTTGCAACATCATAGCCTATAGCCAAGGAAATGAATGTGATGCCACAAATTTGCTATGATGCTTCACTTCAGGAACAAGCAAAACAGGAGCTGGCAGAGAAAGAACATTTGCTCACACAGACAGCTTTGATATTTAGCCAAAATGGCAAGAAATTGTATGAAAGACAAGACAAACAAACAGTTTTGGGAACGTCATGTATTTTAAAGTTGCCTGCAGTAGGAGAATGTTAATTTAAAATATACTTCCCTGAAATAATTTCTATTAAGTATAGGAGTGTGCCATTTATCAGACAGTTCTGGATTAAAAGGATAAGCCTTTGATTAGTGAAGATGATTTGGGTGAGCGATAACCTAATGTACCACTAGGTCTCTCTCTTACAGACCACGGTGACAGGTACATGTGCCTCGTATGAAGAGCTGTACTGTTTCATAAAGGACTAGGAGTCAGTTTAGCCGTTGTGGAGTTGTAGCGAGAAAATTAACGGGAGGAACGCAGTGCAATACAGCAATTCCTACCACAATGCAATTGGCAGCTGAGTCTCTGAGAGGGAACTGCAAATTCTAACAAATTAAATGATACACTCATCACCCTCTTTTTTATGGATGGGGAAAGGAGCAAACAGAAAGCTGAAATGGCTTGCCCAGAGGGTGCTCAGTCAATGCACAGCAGAGAAAGGGAGAGAAATCCAATCTGATTATGAATCCAGCACTATAGTCACAAGATCATTCTTCTCATCCTGACACACGTGCTGTTTAACACGAAAACTCCTTTGTGCAAAGGGACATTAACTGATAACTATCTTGCCCAACAAGGGAAAATAGCTAAGTTTCTCCTCACGTAGAGTTGTGAACCTTAGAAAATAACATCTAGTTTAAGAATGCTCTTTCAAAATCATGGTGTACAGGATGGTAGTATCTTAGACTCTGTGTTGGAATGAGGGCCACGGATTCTAACAGTCAGATCCAGTTATGATAGTGATAAAGTCCAACTAGCACGTAGTGGAGGTGGTGTCTTCTTTGGGCAATGAGATCTTATACCCAGAAAATGTCCAGTTCAAGGAAATACTGTGTTGTGTTTGTTATGGGTTACCAAGCAAACAAAATTGAGAAGAGATCCGAGATAAGATAATTTGGGGACTGCTTCTGATATCAAGGATGTGTTCTATTGAAAAGGCTTTTTATGGAGGAAAAATGAACCCTCCCGTACCTCACGAATCCCATCTCCATTGTGTCATCTCACTGAGGAAAATGCTGGCTTTCCAAAGGGATAGGCTACACAGCTGAAATTTTCAACTCCCAGAGCATGCCTGGCCACCCAGTAGTGGCAAATCCCCAGTGTGCATCTCCAGGGGCTCTTCCTTCCTTGGACAGCACTAACGTTCATGTTTTGGTTAATGTCACAGCTGGAGAGTTTCACTATTGCTCTGAGAATCATTAACCACCTTGTTGTGATTTTTAGCTCTCATTCCCAGGAGGCCATGCTGTATTGAACAGCTGCTCCTGGCTCCTGCACCCCTCAGGAGGGCCATATTCCAATTTTTGGTAGAGCCTTAACTGCGTTTTGTTTCTGCAGAGGGCTTTCTGCTAGACCAAAAAAGGGAAGGAGAATGGAGCAAATGCCAACCCCTTTCACTCCATTTCCTTGGCGGGGGGTTTCATTCTCCTCCACACAGCTAAGGAGAGAGTCTGGCCAAAATCTAACATCACTCCTGCCTTTGTTGCATAAGTGACTTTCCAATATCCTAAAGCTCTGCAGGGCAGCCAGCCATAACCCAGCGACACTCCCAGAACCGGTGCACTCGAGCAGTTCGTAACCATGGAAAACACCTTTTTGTGCAGCTTTTATGAAACTCCGGTGAATCTGCCCTTGCTATTTGAAGGCTAATATTTAGTTAAGGAAAAAATAAACACCGACGAAAATGGAGGGTTGGTACTGACTGACACACTAAATGGAGTCCAGTGGGCCCTTCTGGTAAACTCTCACTGCGAGCCTAAGAACTTCAGGTTTATTCTCTATGGGGCCAGCCACTTCCACCGGCTTTGATATATATATATATGTAATACTTGTTCTTAGAAAATGCTTCCTATAGTCTACTCTTTTTTTTTGTAAAATTTATCCCTAAATTAAATTCTATGCTTCTTTACGACTCAAGTCACTATTATTCAAACCCCTTACCGAAAGGAAGATGCATGCCTGAATATGTACAGAACTATATGTTTAGACATCAGCCATAGCTAATTAACAAACAGTAATTATTTTCCTAATCTTTTGTTTAAATACCATTAACTGGCTGCTCTTGAGAAAAAAAAAACACCCTCGATTCCCAATTAACGTGGCAGCTGTCTGCTGAGCACTGAGCCCCAGTGACCAGCCCGAGCCGATACCGATGGGTGGTGGTCTGCGAACTTCAGCAGACGAATGCCACTTTTTATGCCAGCTGAGAACCAGGCCAGACACGAATTTAGCTTGTTTACACGATCACAGTATCATAAAAATTAAGTATTAAGATTACTGCTAAAATGATGTTGGGATTTTTTTTTTCTTTTAGCCACCACACACTGCCAGTAAACTGAGTCACAACTGTAATGACAAATATACATTGACCTAGTTTCATTTTTCCCGGTTCTGAAGACAAGGAAGTAGTAAGGCATTGCTGACTATATTCAGTGATAACTATGACTAAATATTAACCTTTTAGATTCCACCGCTGAATCTTATTGATAGGACTTAAAAGACGGTATCTCCTGTCAGAAAGCATCAAAACTTCCTGATAGCACAAGTGTTGGTCTAAGGTCAGAAAGAGGAGCGGAGGGGAGGGAATGAATCAACTTCTTAGCTCAACAAAAATCTGCTGATCGGTTCTACAAGTCCTGATTCTAGAAGATCATGTTCACAATCTTACCAGACTGTCTCATACTAAAACCCATTTTAATTTTGAAGCGAGCCAGAGCATCTTGCTGAGTTTGCAGTTGTGCGGTATCGCGTAGCAGAAGGCAGTGCAAAACTCTGAGAACTACCAGATTTTAAAAATGCCCCCTGGAACCTGTGCAAATCTCCTGAACAGTGTATAAAGCTTTAAAAATGTGGGCTTCACATAGTCTGAAGAGCGAATACTTCTTCGCACATCCAGCAGTGGTTGCATATAGCATTTAAATAATAAGCTTGAAAAGCACACAAAGGGATTTACTCTTTCGATTAGATTGATTTTTGTTTGTGGATGTTATTTGGACTCCCTTCACTGTGGAACAAGTCCCCTACAGTTGCCATTAAAGCACTGAAAGCTTCCCTTTTGTTTTTAAATGTCAGTTTGAGCATAGCTTCATTAAATCATTTCACAATTAACTCCCTGAACATCCAGACTTTTTTAAAGCATCAAACCCAGCTGAATTGCATTTGTTTCCCAGCAGAGTGAGTCCAAAGTGGTATCCCCAAGTGTGCATCCAGGAATTTGTATATTTGACTTGTGGCTACACAAAATACATATGGGAGCCGTGTGGGTGGTGGAGAGAGGATTAAAGCTTTCTCCCTGGGCCTAAGAAATACCATTGCTTCTTGCCCAAAATGCAGGGCTCGGGAACAAAGTCATAAGGGAAAGACGTCTGGGTTAATCTAGGAAGACTTATTCCCAAAGGAACTATAAATGAAGTGAACTCAAAAGAGTTATTAGTTTAGCCCAGTATGTATAAGCAGCAATGTTTTTGATGAGGCTGTGTCTGACTTCCGTGTAGTATCTATCCTCTAAAGCCTGACTTAAGATACCAACTCGCCTCCTCGTGACAGTAAAACAAGATTCCCCAGGTCCAGCGTCTGTGTCACAGCTTAGCTACTGGCCTGGGTTTCTCTCATACGTGGTTACGTGAACTGCCAACAAAGTCAGAAATAAACTGTAACCTTAAGCTAACTCTTTTCTCGTTAATATAGAAGCAGCTCAGAATTGTGCCCATCACAGACAGAGCGGAGAGCTCTCCTGCTTCCCAAGAGCTAGTCCAGTCTCATCTCAGACCAGCCGATAGCCGGTGAGCGCAGCACGGCGCGTGCCGCTCTTAGCCCTGCGTTCCCGCTGCGTCTATACTTACTTGGAGAAGTGGGAGAGGTGGCCCCTCCTTCTGTTGATGTAGTTGGAGGTTTTGTGTCTGGCACTGGCAGAGGCACAGGCCTAGCCATTGGTGGCGGAGGTGGTGGTGGCAACATTGGGGTAGGAAGGAATGGATTGTGCACCTTGCCTTGGCTGCTACCATTGGGCTGCCAAAAAACAAGCAAACAGACAGAAATTATACTAAAAATCAGCTATTAGGAACCTCCAGTAATAACAATCTAGTTGAAAGCTATGTGCAATACATTTACAATTACTTGAGAGGTGGCAAAAGAATGTGCTGGGTCAAATTCCCCATTGACTTCAAGGAACTTTTTCTCAAACCCTGTGAACCTTGTGAAACTATGGAAATTCTCGCTTTTAAACATTTGTCCTATTAGCAGCTGGTCTGAACTGCCCTGGATTAAATTCTACTACTCTTTACATTTCCTGCAGCCACTAATTCATGCTCAGTGAGCAGTATTTTTGACCTCTTAAATCCCCCAGTTCTGTGCCTCTGTTATACCCTTAGGATATCAGTGCCTAGGACTTGAGTGTAAATTTCTTAAAGATACTGCTCATTAAGAGAAAAACCAAGCATTTTTGGTGGTCTTAAAAGTCATGCTGGTATCTTATTACAGGAAAATGAATAAATATATATTAAAGTAACTGCTCTCCCACATCCCTTTTGAGTTAGAAATAGTGTAGCTCGCAGTTTAGTTGCCATTAGGATCATATGGAGAAACGACTCAACTTAGAACTGCTTCATTTTGCACATTAGGAAAAAAAAAAAAGCCTCCATTTAGTCTGGGATGTGGTCAGTCACAGGCAGAATGGGCCCTGTTATACAAGTGTGGTCTTTCAATTAATCACCAGAAAAAAACCTGTCCGTAAATAAAAGTGTTTTCAAGTATCACAAAACCAAGAAGCAGGCTAAAAAAAAAAAAAAAACCAAAAAAAAAAAAAGCCACCCCTTCCCCCCAACTTATTAAGTTTGCATTTTAAATGTTACACAGCCTGGACACTTGAAAACCATACAGATAGATGCCAAATACCGTTCTAATGAGAAAATAGGACAGCCTGGGAATCAGGTGTTCCATTTTAGTGACAAAAATGATGAGATCACTTTCGACAGCACTCTACAAATTGATCTCACTGCAGTTCTTCTGGCACTGAGCACTGGCTTTTCCATTGATGGTAAAAGCTCAGCTTTAAACACAGATCCATATTCTAAGTACTGCTAAAGAAAATAATATTTTAATTCCTGTTAGGGTTTCCATTAGCCTGAATTACTGAGGACAAAATACTCATATTGGCAAGAGCTTGGGACCTTATTTTCATTTCACCTGCTTTGGCACTGACAAAAGGCCTGAAAGTCCTGTAGGTGCAAATCACACTTGTGCTGGAGCAAAAATGGTTCAGGACATAAATAAGACTCAAATTCATCTGCATCTAACTTAACAGCACTCCCACCGATTTCAAAGACTGCAGTTACTAGTGTTTGCAGAAAGAAGCAATCCTTCAGGGTTATTTATTTTTCCAACATCCAGCACCTTTAATAAACTAATATATTAGTGACATCTCTCAAACACTATCTTGTCTCACAATTAGGTCCCTTTCCTGCCAAGAAGACCCCTGCTGTATGTTCATTGTGAGTGTGCTAACAGTTCATAATGCTGAATGGTTTGGGATAAATTAAGCAAATGAATACTCAAGGAAAAAGAAAAGCACTATATTGATTTGTTGTCTAGACATAAATGTATCTGCTAACATATTGCAGACATTATTCAAAGCCAGTACTGGCTGGAATAAGTAGAGTCAGTTTTTTCTGCTAGGGAGAGGAAAGCACGGAGGACAATATAGCTTATTAAATAAGCGTCATAAATTAGATGCTAATAATTAAACTAATTCTCATTAACACTTTCAATCGTATGTACGTCAGGAGAGAAACAGTAATTTTGCCAGTTATTACTTCATTAGCTAGAAAAAAAGTTACATGCATTACATTTCATGAAATATTCAGAGCATTATTTTAGATTTGATTTACATAAAATTTATAAATTCTGTATTTGACCGGAATGCTATTTCAATAATAGCAAGATGATTCACTTTATTTGATTAAAAAAAAAAATGAAAATGGTTATTTGAAGCTTTGGAACTCTGCTTAATTTTTCATAGAGATAAGGGGAAAAGATAACTGCTTACAGAAATAACAAACCATAATAAACTGTACTTTTAACATCTTGAGTTCAAGTACTGGTCAACTTGATCTAAAGTGCTATAAGGCAGTATTTTTTTTTCAAATGAACTTAGCTGATCTGAAACATCTGTTTCTCACCCTCCCTTTTCCTGCTCCTTCCCCCCCAATTCTCCCCTGAACTTCAAAAATAATTAATAAAAATTATTCTGCCTTCATATTTTGTTAACCCTAGTTCCACTAGGGTTACAACGCATGCAGCAAAGTCATTTGTGGAGGGACCCAAAAGGTCACTGTATCACCAGCTTCTCTGACAGTTTAAGTTAATTTCACCACAATGTGGTCGAGTGGTTTTTTTTGGGAGTTTTTTTGTTGTTTTTTTAAATATTTTTGCAGTAGCAGCATTTTTTTTTTTTTTCGCTTCCAATGACTATTCAAGGTGTGTTCCTGTATGCAACATGCTGTTAAAATAATCCCATAATCCCATGGTTAATTTTACATAGGACAAACACTTCTGAAGAAATAAAAACGGCTTCCTTACATTTAGGAACCCCACCTGTCCAGCCTGCTGACCAGCGTCGGGGCAGACAAGTTGGACAAACTCTTTCAGAGTCTCCTGAGGATGATAGCGGATTGCTGGGTGTGAGAAGTATGGCCCAGGCTGTTGAATAATGGGTGATGTTGGAAAATGAAGAGTCGATGGTGTTGCATGTGGACTTGCTATAGGAAAGAAAACAAAGAAGTTATATAGAGTTTTGCCTTCGGAAAATAAAACAGTTTAAATCTACTGTAGTGTTACTTTTAGTCTTTTTTTTTTGAAATGTACAGTATTGTTTATACATCTGATCTTCACAATTAATATATTAGACCACATTGTGTCCTACACTCACTTCATCTAGATCCTGAAAGCAAACGGAGCCAGACTTTTTGAAGGGTTTTCTGTATTTTTAGTGGACACATATAAAGGAATCAGCAGTCCTTTGTGAAAGTGAAAACTATTCATCACCTTAAGAGCAGTCCTAATCAATCAGACAATAAAAAAAATGTATTTGGGAGATTAGAGTTGATTTAATTGACATTTCATGTAACTGGAATTTGCACATATGAAATTTTGTATTGTACTATAAATGGTTGATAATTTAAAGATGGTCTAACGCTTCCTGGTTTGTTTTTTTTTTTTTTTTTTTTTTCCCACCTCAGTTTAGGAACATTTATTTTAAGTAACGTGTTTTCATCTAATGAACATGCTCAAAGTGGCAAGATCGTTTTGAAAATTACATTTACATTTCTCCTGAATAACGTTAGGCTCAAACCTTCAGCAGGGATGAAATTTAATTTGGTGAATTTATGGGCCAACAAGCCAGCTGGAAAACGTACTACAGTGAAGGTGTAAAGGTGCGGTGTACACCAGCCCATTGGCAATGACAGATTTTACTCTCAGCTGATTTCAGCAGAGAACTACAAGTGCAGCTGATGATCCTTCTGCTCTCCTACGTTATGTGACACCTTTGCCCAGGTCCTTGGCCTTCATGATATATTGGGTTGGACCCTTGTTAGCTAACAGTGCTTTCCATGGTTAGTTGTCACCATGAGGTAGCAACTACTGACACTCCTCGGGCTAGGAATTTTCCCTTTCCCCTCTAAAATGAGAATTCGCTCTTGCTTTAGAATGGCCAATTAGTCTGGTTTCGCACAAGCTAATCTGTAAATCATAGTTTATTTCTCACCAAACAGTCGTCATTACATCCCTGTTACTCCCTTGACATGCTATCCTAGTAATCTTTCAAGGGTGTCCATGCGCATAGACCGCACTTGTACACCACACAAACCTGATTAGATAAAGGCTATGCAAGGGAGGTAATATCCTACAGAAACTCAGGTGTTGGCTTTGAAGTAAGTTAAATATACAAGAGGGAAAAAAAACCCTTTGGCACTTTTCAAAAAATCAGCGAGATGCAGGAAAGTTAACTAAAATCAAATACAAATGAGCAAACACTCATTTAATGATGATTATTATGAAAAACTCTCAGTTAAATAAAAGCTAAAATCTGCTTCTTAGTCTTGTTCATCGCCAGTTTAATAATACGACACTTTATTAATAATTTTTTTCTTAAGCATTATTAAACCATTAGCAAACTCAGAGCCTGATGTGGATAAAACATGTACTCAGAGACAGCAGCAAGGAAACCTACTGCATTATCCTATAAACATTCATTAAGGGTTGGCTGGGCAGCACTTCTATGTACTTCTTTCTCCACGACTGGATAGGAATAATTGCTTTGACACCACCACCAAAAAAGAGCTGCATTCATGCCTGAGGTGCTGATATGGGATGAATATGAAGCTCTCATCCTTGCCATGAAAAGCTCCCCTGTATCCTTGTTAACCCCACGAGTCTGCCCAGTCTGCTCCCCTTAATGCTGTTTAAAAAATTCATGACAGAAAGAGAAACTCATCCGAAATGTGTGGTGCTAAACAGGAAAACGCCACTGAAAGAAAGGATGGGGATGAGGAACCAAAAGGTAGCACAGAGCCTTCAGCTGTCTCTGATCGAAGTAGATGTATATCCAGAGAAACTCTTCTGGAAGCATGGGCTGTACCTGTCTTCTAACAGCTAGATACTGTGGCATGTGGGCTGAACTGGAAAACAGCATCTTCCCACAGCTGTGCTAGGTCTGCAGTGCTCCACTTGGGAGAAGGAAACAAGAAGCAGCATATCCCACACTCCTTGTTATGGAAATGTCGACAGTTATTCCATGGCCAAGGCAAACACCTGTGTGCCCAGCCTGTTCAACCTGTCTGCACATCTGGGCTTATCTCTTGTTTTTTACAGTCCTAGTTAATTATTTCTTATTCACTCTTAAGACAAATAGTTTTGTTCTGAGTTTGCATCTTAAATTACAGTATATTTGAAAACTCTTCAGATAAAGAACCCAAATCTTCAAAGGCGGAAACGAAAGTTATTCTCCTGTCCCCAAACTCCTGGGAGAGGCCGTAACTTTGAAGTGTGCTATTAAAGGTAGAGATAATGTGGGATTCACCTTAGCAAATGCGGGTGTCTAGGAGAACTAAATAGAACTAATGGTGTCTAAGAAGCTGTTCAACTCATACAAAAACAGACCACTGCCCTTGACTAGACTTCTCTGACCGCACCGACTGGCCTGCCAGTGGATGCAAAGGAAGCCCACTGGTACCAGCTCCGAGGTAGATACCGCCAGTCTACACACACACCCCCCCCTCTTCAGTTAGGTGAATTCTACTCAAAGTGTCTGCCTCCGATCATACTTACACCAAGCCCTGAGGTGTAACTGCTTTAATGACACTTACGTCATAGCCGCCTTACAGGTATGAATGTATCATCACCTTCTCCGGGAAGCAACCGTCATTTTAGAGCTTGTCAAAATATTTTGCCACGAATATTGTTTCAGCTAAAGTTGGTGGTAAGCATTTTGATGACTACAACAAAATTTTCATTAGCGTACAACATTTCTCTCCTTTTTTTGGATATAAAACATTTCCTTCCTCTCTTTCTTTGTTATCTCCTTTTATAGTTTCCCCTTTCCTTGTATGCCAAATGGAAGATGAAGATAAAAGTGACAAATGAAAATTTACGTGGCAAACATCTAATTAAGTAAAAAATAGATTGGCATTTTTAATTTTTTTTTTAAGTTCATTTTAGCACCAGCTCTGTTAATACTATTTGGAATTGTCATGCAACTGCACTGTCCTTTGTACACAACTGGGAACAAATTAATTCCTTTTCTTCCGCTCGGTGAAAAGAAGATAGAAATGCTATTTCGATCAAACAAGAAGGAATAAAAAATTGTACCCAGGGAACATGTGGAAATTCAAAGCTAGGCCTGAGACCACACTGTATTTAGCTTTTCCGAGGTATGGCTCTTCATTTAATAATTTGATTTGCTATATAAAAGATGCGTTATGGATATTAGAAATACTCATATGCATGTAAGTAGTGGGTCTTTCTCTGTTGCATTGACTTTCCAGCATGTCAGGGTAGAAAACAAAGGGGAAAGCATTTGTTGATGAACTTCTCAAAGAGAGAGAGAGAGAAGGAAAACGAATGCAGAAATGATCAACAAAAATTCAGGAAGTTAAAGGGCCACAAGAAGGAGAAAGGGGTTCCTCTTTGGAGTCTTGGCCAACACCTCAGCACAGCCTCGAAGGGCTTTCTGCTGTTCATGGGAACGACTGGGGGAAGGAAACAAGACCAGATAGGCATCAGTCCTCAGTCTGTGCCATATACCGACATGTAGGGTGCATCTTCTCAGAGTAGATGGATTAGCATAAGAAGTAACGAACGGAATAAAGATCTCCAAAAGGTTTGCTTTTGCAATCTCTGACTGGGAAATACCAAATTTCTCAAGTGGCAGAGGAAGGGTTGTTAGGTAAGAGGGAGAATCTACTACTATTAAACTGATTAACATTACAAATGTGCCTGCCTTATACTAGAGAGAGAATTAAATGCTGAAATGTAAAAACTGTTGGCCCAGAGACAGACCATTACTCCAATAGCTGTTTTGTGGTCACCGACTCTGGTGAATGCAAAAATGGGCTTCCACGCAAGTTGTGAGTGAGGAACACAACTGTGTTTCCAAATACATAGATCCGCACAAATAGTTTTAATCAGTTAAAGGACGTGAGGTAGTGGAGCAGCTCTTTTCCCTATTTGCCTCTGAAAGGGGCAAGTGACCACGAACAACCCCCTTTGGTCATGATTTTCAGAAATGCTTAATAAAAATTATAAAGTCATGGCTTCCGAAAACCCTGCCTAGAGTGATGCAAATTTTCCTGTGTATAAGAAGGGCTATTACTACTTATGTGCTTCTGATGGGATATTACAAGTCTCAATCAGTGATTGTAAATTCTTTGAGATCTTCAAATGGAAGATAAAATAGGTCTTTGTCTATTATTTATTTACTTATTGACTTATTATTTATGCATCCCTAAGCAGCTCCATGCTGCCAAACCATATTTCTCTTGGCGTCTTTCAGCCTGTGACATTTATATTTTATTATTGACCTCACTAAATGACATAAAATATAACTTCTACAACCTATGAAAAATACGTGTCTTCCAGATCAGAGCTTCATTTCTACCTGCTGTAGGTATGGAGGAGTTGGACTATCTAGAGTTATTAAATCTGTTATTTGTGTGTGGGGGTTGGAAGCAGGAGTTATCCTTCCATCTCAAGGCAAGCATAAATATTTCAAAGCACACATGATTCTAATTCCATTGAAGCTCATCTGAAACATCCCAGACTTTTTATTGAAAATGAGATGATAATGTATGGTGGCCTGCAACAGATATACCAGTATTTTAAAACTACTGCTATTGGGCCAAGTAATTATGCAGTACAGCTGTTGCGTGCTACACTGGCTTTTTTAGTGTTTTATGAGTTCATGGTGCTGTGCAGCACAGAAGTAAGGGGATTTTTCAGAACGTTGAGTTCAAACGTCTAATTATGCAGGCCTGTCTTGTCTTTTCCCTTCTTGATTTGTAGTAGCCAATAACAGAGTAAGTAACCAATAAAATAAGTTGCATTCATTGATTAGGTTAGCACTTCAGATGTCTAAGGCCAATGAAGAAGAGCCAAAATTGTGAATTCTATTCAACTGAATGATCAGATAATAAAGAACCAGTTAATTTGAAACAGGTTATAGTTTTCTTCAGATATTTAGTACCCTTCTCAGGGCCTTCTC